GCTAAATATCTTATTTTAATACATGTTATGACTTATGTGCTTTCATTAAGTTTAAACCGCTTTTATTATTATTATTTTTAATAGAATTGCAACGTCATGAAAATGCATCTCAAACCATGTCGCAATCAATGCACCCGTGGTTGTTAACACATTCCGACTTCGTTGAGATTTGGGTTTGGGTCACATAAATGCGCACCCTAATTTAGGAAAGTGATATTATTAAAAACGTACCTAAAGAGACTAACATGTTATTATCTTTGAGGAAGGCCGTGAAATTTGCTTAAACGGCTCATCCCAAATTCTAAGTATTTTTAATAAAAACATTTATGAGGGCCCGCAGTTTGTGCATTTTATTTGGCGAGGCTCGTATCATCTTACGAAAGGATAAACCTACAATGGCTACACTCTTTCTATTATGCTCGTCTCTAAGAAATGGAAGAAAGAAAAATACATACTAATTGGACTACATGCTTGGCCAAACACGGATTCTTGTTAATTATCTGATTAATTATTTACGAGGCGGGAGTTGTTTCTTGCCTCATTCCATGGGTGAACATGCTTTTAATTTTCTAAAGGAGATTAACATACAAGATTAATGAAAATGATAAACTTACGCTAAATGTTCTTCAAGTTCGAATTTAAACTAGATTAATGGAGTCAACTACTAGAAACTGCTACTAATGGGATTCGAACATGGTTCTATAGACTGCCTAACAGAATCAGATTTAATAAAGTTAGCTGAAATGATGAAAAAGAAACTATATTACATTTGGCAAGATTAGAAACAGTACCTTATGTACAAAATATAACTAAAGATGAAGTCTAGTTATTGATATACCAACTACTCGTGCATTTTACAAATTGCATAATTATCATACATACAACTGAACCACTATAAATCACAGTACCTAAACAACTAAGTTTCAATTAAGTACGAAACTACCTAATGTGTTTCCTGTTGAGTCACAACCTAAAGAACTACACAAATCTACTAATACTCTATAAGACTATTGGTACAACACCAAACGATTGAAAATTCTTTGCGCCTTTCATTTCACACCCATTGTTATTATTACATCAGCGTAAAGCTTAAGTGTGTACCTGAATATTGGACACAAGAGGAGACAGGGGTAAGCAGGAGCAATAGCAACAAGAGAATGGCAGCAGCGAACAGCAATAGTAACGAACAAACAGAATACACCCCAGTGGATAGAACCAGAATTATCTCAATGAAACAGTACTCAAATATCCAAACAAAACAAAATTTCGGAGGTTCAGTTGAGACCGGGCAGAAAATAAATGGATCCGCAATAACAGTGGAACAAAGTTTCTGATCTTCGGACACTCAAGGAAAGAAACTCAAGTTTCGAATAGAACAAAACAGTTGATGCTGATTTCAAACAGAAAAAGTGAGTAAAAGTAGAATTTTCAGCTTCTTCTTTGTTCTCAAATCTCTTTTGGTCCTAAAACCCCTTTTCCTTTCCAGTTCTTTTTCTCTCCTACCTTTCTGATTTCAGAACTCTCCCTCCTCTATCTTTTTTTCTGAGCTCTTAACCTCTCTTTTCTCTGAACTCCTCACTGTCCCCTTTATAGAAGGAAGAAACTGCCTTTAAAGACAGGTTGCCCAGGGCTTAAAATAAACCTTAAAGGCTGTCATCTCCACTTAGGATTGTCTAGGCATGGGGTTTCTTCTACTTTAAACTGCTGAAATTCAGAAAAGCAGTGGATACCTTGTTGTACAGCAGGTTCCACTACCATTCTCATGTGCATCTTCAGCCTTTTTATTATTAAACTCAGTTTACACCTGACTCCTCATCTGTAAAGATGTCAGCCAAGGTGTGTTTGCACTATGGATTATTCTAAAGGTTCAACCCACACTCAAACTGGCAGTCCACTTGACTTAAATTCTGAGATTTCATTAAAATTACAGNAACCTTAAAGGCTGTCATCTCCACTTAGGATTGTCTAGGCATGGGGTTTCTTCTACTTTAAACTGCTGAAATTCAGAAAAGCAGTGGATACCCTGTTGTACAGCAGGTTCCACTACCATTCTCATGTGCATCTTCAGCCTTTTTATTATTAAACTCAGTTTACACCTGACTCCTCATCTGTAAAGATGTCAGCCAAGGTGTGTTTGCACTATGGATTATTCTAAAGGTTCAACCCACACTCAAACTGGCAGTCCACTTGACTTAAATTCTGAGACTTCATTAAAATTACAGCTATAACCAATGCTACTGTGGTTTCTGATTCAACTTAAAAGGCCAACACACTATGTAATCAATTCTCAACTGATTCGAATAAAATTAAACCAACAGGAGTCAAATTACTATCAATCCAAACTGATACTATTTGACGACATGTATCGAATCAACTGCGTGAATTACAATGCGCACATTCAATTCATACCAAATGAATCAGGATCGAATAGTACTAACAGGAGGTGCAAATTGTACTGTCAAAACAAACTTAAACCTGAAACTAACTAATCGACCAAATTCATTTTCAATCGATTGTATAGTTTAACACACATACACCGAATCAGTTAAAATAGAGAAAAACTTGACCAAATAAAGGTCCAGGCAAGGTGGACAGAACAGTCGACACAAAACAAATCCACTACCATTTAAACACATGAACAAACATTAAGCAAAACAAACAACAGAACTGGCAAGGAAAAGAAGAAGAAAATACTTTAAAGAATTGAAAATCAGATGACCATGTCTCGAATTTTGACTCGAACCTCTTTTGGGGTTGAACGGACTTTAATCGAAGTGTTCTCAACTGAGAATACTTCGATTAAAATCTATTAGACCTCAAACTTCTTGTTTAAACGGACAAAAACTCGGATTCTGGACTTCTAGGGTTCCTAGGGCAGATTTGGGATTCAGGTTTTTCTGGTTAGATTCGGACCAAACCAAGCCTGGTTTGGTCACGAGGGAGGTCAGGGGAGTGCCTGGCATGGATTTGGGGGGGTTTGGCATGGGTTGGGGTCCGGCTCGAATCTTCAAATGAAGATTCGAGACGGTGGGGGAAGATTCGAGACCTACGGTTAGTAGATCTGTGTTCAGGGGGTCGAGGTGGCCTAGGGGTATTAGTCTGGGGGTCACCGGCGTTGTTGCCGCCGGGTTTACAGTGAGGGGAAAGGGGGGTGGCGCTAGGGTTTCGTGGGGTTTGGGTCTGGTGAGGGAGACGACTCAAGGGAGGGGGGGTTTGGCTTAGGGCGCAGGGTGAAAGGGGAGGTTTATATACGGGACGGGGGTTGGATTTTTGGCCGTTGGATCATTAGTGATCAACGGCTTTGATCTCTTAACTTAAAGAGACGACGTCGTTTGGACTAGTGACAGGCCTGACCTGGACCGTTGGATCTGTTTGACCAACGGTTCAGATGGAGGGTGCCAAAAACGGTGTCGTTTCCTTTTGCGTCTGGGACCGGACTGGGTTAATGAGTTTGGGCCTGATTTTTGGGTCTGAAACTGGCCCAATTCTGATTTATCCTATAAAAACCAATTCTTTTCTTCTTTTGATTTCTAATTCACACAAAATTACTAACTAAATTGTAAAAATCAAAATAAAACCATACATATATTAATTAATACTCAAACAAACAGTTATCACTCACATTAAACATTTAATTAAAATAAAATCACTCAATGACAACAAGTAGAATAAAAGATGCATATTTTGTGATTTTCCTTTTAATAACCAAATTATGGTTTGATTAATTCCTAATAGTAGAATGACATCCTAAACTCAACATGTGACGTATATATTTTTTGTATTTTGTTCGACGATACTAAACAATCACAAACAACACTACAAATAACTGCCAAAAGTGCCACGTAAACTCCAAAAATTGTACAACAAAACCATTTGTTTTATTTTTTTAATTTCTTTTGGAGTAATTGTCGTGTAAACAAAAATCACGTGCTCACAGCAATAAACCTTAAAAGGTATCTATAAAATATAATTTTTTTAAATGATATTTATTTAAAATAAATAAAGTGTTAACCTTTGCTACAGGAGTTAAAAATTCCATTTTTGGTTACTACAATTAGACTCCCACTTACTAGTCAGAAGTTTTAAACATGTTCAAGTTGGTTGTTTGAGGTGCAGCGTATTACAATGTCGTAAGTAACGAGTATTGAGCTGAGCGGACAATAATTTAATAATTTTAATTTTTTGTTTGGTTAAATGTTTACAAATTAGAAATCATTAATGAAATCAAGATTCCTGTGTAAACTTGTATAAACTCTCAATCTCATATGGGTAGCACGAGTTCATGAACTTACAGACCCTTAAATTACGCTCTCGTGCTTCTTAAAGAAACCCACAAGTAAATCCAATAAAAAAATACTACTTGGTTTGTGGGGCGGAGTAAGAAACATTTATGCATTTTCCTAAGTATTTGCTGATATAACTTCACTGAAAAGCACCGAAACAGATCTGGCGAGAGAGACAAAGATGGCTTATGCTGTTATAACTTCACTAATGACAACTCTTGAGCAAGTCCTGCAATTCAATCCAACTTTGATTCCTGAAAATATTCGGGGACCCCTTGATTCTCTCTATGAAACACTGGTTTTCTTGCAAACTTTCCTTGTGGATATTGGAAATCGGATCAATGATCAAGAATGGTTGACTTTTTTGGAGAGAAAGATTAGAGATGCAGCTTATAAAGCAGAAGATACTGTTGATTTGTGCTTAAGAAGTATCCAAGTGGCTAACACTAAAAATGATAAAAACAATGCTCGTTGTAACCTTTATGACGAGTTGAAGCAAATAGCAAATGTAATGGATTCAATACAAGGAGAGGTGATGAAGTTCAAGAATGACCACCTACACATCAAAGAACAGCCAGCAACAACTTCTCGTCTAGGGATGTTTTGGATGAGGAAATTACTCTCATTGGCATGGAGGATGACTTCAACGACATAAGAGATCGACTCATTGGGCAAGCGCGGGAGCTTAATATTGTTTCAATTGTTGGCATGGGCGGTATGGGTAAGACAACTCTTGCCAGGCAAGTTTTTAGCAATCCATCAGTATTATTTCGTTTTGATGTTTCTTCATGGGTTACTATTTCTCAAGAATATGAAGCAAGAGAAATTCTTATAAATGTTTTAAGCTTTGGTACTTCTGATGTGACTGCAGTATATCATGACAAGAGCTATGACCAATTATTAGAGCACTTATATAGAAAATTAAAAGGCAAAAGATATTTGATAGTTATGGATGATTTATGGAGTATAGAGGCCTGGGACCTAGTTAAAAGATCATTTCCTGATGATAATAATGGAAGTCGAATCATGATAACTACTAGGCTTCTAGAAGTAGCTGATTGTGCTGGTAATGGTTGCCCTCCCCATCACATGCCTTTCCTTAATTTTGAAGATGGTTGAACTTTGCTGTCTGACAAGGTATTTGGAAAGGAAGACTGTCCTCCTCAGTTGGAGGAAATAGGGAAGCAGATGGCAAAACATTGTCAAGGATTACCCCTCTCGCTTGTTGTCATTGGTGGGCTTCTCTCCAAAATGAATAGGACATATGAAGATTGGAAAAAAGTTGCTGAAAATGTGGTTTCACATGTAGGTTCCACCACTGAGCATTGTTTAGCAATATTGTCGTTGAGTTACAACTGGTTGCCTCCTAGCTTAAAAGCGTGCTTTCTTTATACGGGAGCTTTCCTCGAAGATGCAGAGATTCCTGCAGATAAGTTGATTAGAATTTGGGTTGCTGAGGGTTTTCTAAACACAAAGAGTGATAAAATGTTGGAAGATGTAGCGGAAGAGTCTTTAGAGGATCTCGTTAGTAGAAGTTTGATTTTGGCTAGTAGACAGCGAGCCAATGGTAAATTAAGAACTTGCAGAATTCATGACCTCCTTCGACAATTATGCTTGAAAGAAGGAAAAGCTGAGAAGTTTTTTAATATCATAACTAAATGTTTTGATGTGTCCTCTGAAGGTATGGAGATTGAACGCAAAATGTGTTTGAATCCAGATGCTTTAAATAACCAGAATCTTGACTTGGAGAAAGGTAATTTGAATTCTGTTCGGGCAATCTTATGCCTGGGTGTATCCCATACATTTTACCTTGACTATCTGTGCTGCAAAATAGTAGATTCTCGTTTTCAACTGCTAAGGATATTGGATGTAGAATGTATTCGCTTTTCAAGTTTTCCTTGTGACATAACACAGCTAATACACTTGAGATACGTTGCCTGTACTACTTGTACCAATGTTCCCGCATCAATATCCAATCTGTGGAATCTACAGACGCTGATTGTTCATCCAGTTGGAGATGAATTATCCCTGCCATCGGAAATTTGGAAGATGTCAAGTTTGAGATACATCTATTCTGGGGGAATGTATGTGCATGCTCCTCCAAAGGAAGAAAATATTTTGGGTCTTCAGAACTTGGAAACACTTGATTCAATACCCGCTGCAAATTCCAACTGGATAGAAGTTCTTACAGCAGCCCCTAAAATAAAGAAGCTGGGAGTATTGATCCATCCAGATAATCATGAATGGTCTAAGCTTATTGATAGTCTGATTTGCTTAGCTGATCTCCAGAAGCTAAGAATTCAGCTAGCAATTCCCTCTTCCGTAGAGTTTTTCCAAATGCTGCCTGGTCTGCTATGGGAAGTTTTTGTAACACTCCTCAAATTTATAATAGTTTCAAGATACACTAATTATAGAATTAAATTATTATTATTATTATTTTTCTTGTTAATAGTGAATATATATATATATACACACACACTCATAAATAATTGGATATACAATTAGGAAAATATTATTATTTATTAAAGGTGAGTATCATTAATTATTAGTTACAAAAAAAGAAAAAGGGAAAAGGGCCTAAAAAACCCATAAAATGGGCACTTAAAGACAAAGGCTCTTGAAGCCTTAACCAAAAAACTTCCATCGTGAAAAACATAAAGCAGAGGCCACGAAAAAAAAAAACCGAGCACGCAGGCAACGAAAAATACTAGGGTTCTTCACAACTCACTTATTCTTGAACTCAGGTATGTAAAATCCCTTATTGTCAATTACCCTACAGTAGTAATAGGTAAGAATTGAATAGCTAAATCCCTTCTTCCTCTATATCATCAATAAATTTCATAATTAGGTGTAGTACTTTAAAATTGATCAAAATACACCGGTTGTTGTAGAATCGATTGTTTGACTGGTGTCGACTGGACTGGGGTCTACGTATTGGCTCAAGGAGTTTTGAGGTGAGTTGATATAACCCTTTACTAAAGTGGTTTAACTCACAAAAGCACGCATACAAGGTGTTTGATGAATTGCTTAAAAGAGTTTATCTTTATTTAATTAGAGCGAGTGAGTACCCATTAATGTAGAATTTGTTCTAGCAAAAGTTTAGATGATCTATTACGCTATATGTGCTTAAATTTTCAGATTTTTGTGTTGTTCTTATATGCTATTTTCATGTTGAAAATTATGAAGAAGAGAATCTTTGAACATAATTTTATATGTTTATTTCATTCTTATGACATGCTTTACATTTAAGGACACCAATATGAGCATGTACATAATGTTCTATAAAGAAAAGATTTAGACTTGAAAAGTCACAAGAAGAAGTTTTAGAAAGAAAAGATTTTTGGGGAGTATCCTTTATTCTGAGAAGGGGTCATCGTCCAGGCCGAGGGTCCTGACCAAGGCGTTGACTTCCTGAAACTACTTGTGCCAAAGTAGGGAGCATACGAGCCGAGGGTCTCGTTGCTGAGAATTTACTTAGCCATGCTAAGGTATGATACATGAGCGCTGAGAACCATGAAGCGAGTGGCACATCGTGGATTGGGCCTATTTGATCAGGTTGGGATCGAACCCGTGCCGATCACACGGTGACTGAGACAGAATTAAGTCAGGATAGTTGGAACTCCCAAAGTATAAAGTGAAGTATTTTTTTTCAAAGAAAGAAAAAGGAAAAGAATTTCTTTTAGAATATTCATAAATTGCTATTATGCAATTATTTTAGAATTATTCTTATAAGCTTTATGTTTTACATGCATTTTGTTATTAAAGTTTCTCTCCCTGTTTTTGAGACTCACTGAGTACAGTGGATGGTACTGACGTTCTCTTTTAGGAACCTACGTTGGTCTGTGGTAAAACGTAGGAACTGGATTTGCAGGCGAGCAGGTTACGAGTTAGGATTTCCTTCCCTTCCAGTGATATTGGTGAGCTCCGCTTTTGTTCGTGGAGTATTCTTAGAGTCATTTTCATTTAGCCATTTCTTTGTTTATTTAGAGACCTGGCCAGGAAATCTCATGTCTTGAGCAGTGCGTCAGTTTATCAGTAGAGGCTTCATAGACATAGTCAATGGGTTAAGATTTAGATGTTTTTTTTATTATAATAACTTAGCATAAATTTGGTAGTTAGTACGTATAAAGTTTTGGAGTTGATTTATTTAAATATTTACATTAATCAAAAGTATTTGGTTGGAGTATTAACTTGTTGCATATAAAGTTTGAAGTTATAATAGATTTGATCAACAGAGATGGTTCGCTCGGTCAGGTTTAGTGATCGAGTGCCGGTCCCGGCTTGTTTAGAAAATGGGTCGTGACAAACTTGGTATCAGAGCCAGGTTTATGGAGTCCTAGGGGTCTATGAAGCCGTGTTAGTAGAGTCTTGTTTATGTGTATGAAGCGCGCCATACTTATAAACAGGAGGCTACAAGCATTTAGGAAAAATATTTTTTTTTCATACTTTAGATCGTGCAGTAGAGCCTACCTCTAAGAAATTATCTTATGTATTCTTTTCTCCTAAACTCGCAGAAATGGCTCGTACTTGCAACTCTGACACCGACACTCCGGATGCTGCTCAAGAAACTATTGCTACTATTGTGGCTCAAGGCATAACTTAAAAGGCTCGAACTCAGAAAAGGAAGGGTAAATCCACAAGGGGGGTTCAAGTACCCCAGGTTAAACATGAAGAAGGGGTGGAGCATGATGAGCAAGTACCTCAGGATCCAACGCCAACCCCAACAGCAGCTCCGACTCAAACAACTATATCCCCAGAGGTGGGTCAGATGTTCAATGCAGTCAACAGTGCTATGGAGATGTTTAAGGCCTTTATGGCCAACCAGAATGAGAAAAGAGATAAGATTCCACTTCAAACAAATAGGCAGAACAATTCTGAGCCCTCAAGAGTGAATGAATTTCTGAAGTTGAGTCC